CAGTTGCTGTGCCCGCCGACGCTCCCTCGCGCGCTCTCTCTCCCGTTCCCGGGGGCCCCACGACTCCCTGCGGGCTTCCTCCTTCTGTTTCTTCTTGTGCGCCGTCATCACCTCCCAGGCGTTGCACAAGAAGAAGGCCTCCAGCAAAGGCAGCATCTTCGCCAAGAGTCCTGCCATGGAGGAAGACGTGGTCAAGGAGGCTTTCCGCCCCCCGCCCTCGCCATCCTCGCCGTCTCCCCCCTCTCCGTCCAACGGCTCCGTGCTCTCCCTCCCCAATGCCTCCCCCGGGCTCGCCCCGCCTTCTCCGCTGCTTCCCCTACCTTCCGAGATCCCTTCCAAGGCTGCCACCACCGACAGACACTCACTCAACGACTCCCACAGGGGCTCGAGCTGCAGCTTTCGGAGGAGGACCACGCCCATGTGGGACGCGGGGGAGGGCGAGGTAGAGGGAGGGAGGGAGGGCGGGGGGCCCGCTCCCCCTCCTCCTTCTGCCTGCTCGCCGTGTCCTGGCCGTCTGCCTGCTTCCTCGCCCTCCATTTCCTCCTCGTCGTCCTCCTCCCGTTCCGCTTCCTTCTCGGACAGACCCATCAGGGTTTGAAGCACCCTTAACAACTTCAAGTCGCAGCTACCCGCGGACATGGTCACGACGGAGGCGGGCAGGTCCCTCTTCCACCGCTTCCGTCCTTCCTTTCCTCCTTCCTTCCCTCCTTCCTTCCCTCCCTCCGCAGCGGCGTCCACGAGCAGGAGGCTGGAGAGGGCCTGGTGGAGGGAGGAGAGCTCGCTGAGGGCAGTGGACCCTAGCCCTCCCGCGACGAGCGACAGCTCCTGTGACAGGGGAAGAACCGAAAAGGGGATAGAAGGAGAGAGAGAGGGAATAAGTACTGTATAGTTACACGCCTGAGTCTTTTCATGGGATGCGCAGATTGTGCCCCCGACAGGGAGGAGGGTTCAAGGGGCAGGGGAGGAGGAAGTTGGGGGCCGGAAGGGATCCAGCATGGCCGTCAGCCTCTTTCCAGACAGGGAGCACGTATGGCAAGCTTGCAGGTGGAGCTCGTTTTCAAGGGTGGCAGGATCCAGGGCCAGAATAAACATGGAGAAAGGATAAGGGGGTAAGGCCCAAAGGAAGGACGGAAGCGAAGGATGGAGGGAGGGAGGGAGGGAG